TTGAGGCTTCATAGTAGACAAAACCTGAGTATTCATTGATGGTCACTATTATAGGATACAAAAAATATTATATGATTTGAATTCGGCAAAAAAAACACCACAGTTTTGAATTGAACGCATGTAATGGGAAACTTCGGAGGAAACATTCATCATGATACTCAGTTCATCAGAGTTGTGAGTCCCTTCACACATTGGCATAGTTGAAATGAAAGAACTGACCAATCAGCGAAAGAAATTATTACTAACACGCTAACAAATAAATGTCACTTGTCGTTCAAAGGACCTGAAATATATTCACAAGCAAACGTTCATCAAAAGTTGGCAATCCCAATGGAACAGTTGGTCATGAAAACTTCACGAGATGAAACAGTGAATATCTTCTTGGAACAACACACCCAACGAACGAAAAGTCCAAGTCACTTTATCTGGTCTTCGTCTAGGCCACACTCGTCTCACCCATAGATATCTACTATCTGGCGAAAAACCCCTAGTATGTTAATCGTGTGATAGTCTTCAAAGTGTGAAACATATTCTGACCAACTGCGTGCAAAATTATGGCTTCCCATCATCAATGAAGGACATATTTGGAGATGAATGTGATATTAATAATTCATCAGCTTTCCTCAGGAATATCAATATTTCACATGATCTATACAAGTCACTAATGACCCAAGAGGTCGATGCGACTGTAAATAAATAAATGAATAGAAAAGCTTTATGAAAGTACCTATCCTATCCTAAGAGCGATGCCCTGTGCAATTGGATTCGATTCGCTGGAGATTGAATTCATTTGGAAAAAAGTTCTTCTGAAGTTTATTACACATAATCACACATATCCAAATGAAAGAGTTATTGAACAGTGAAGTTCGAGGTGTACTGAGTTGAAACCCAAAACGATGGGCAGCCACAGTCCGTCACGTATTTCCAATATGTTCGGCTCTTTGTGAAATCAAATGTATCAAGTCACTTGAACACCTCCCGTGAAAATAACAGAGAGATAACAGTCAGATGAATCTCCAAGTTTTTTTCCATGTTCCAGACTATTAAGGCTGTAAGTGATTGCTGTGTCTCCAATCAGACGAATGGCTCTTTTCTGCAGCAGCTTCAGGGGCGCAGCTCCATACATGAGAAAAATACCCCAAAGAAGCTTTATGAAGCATCAAAAGTTATTGGGGTGTGCACAGTTTTCTGGTTCGGATCAGTGCTCCAAGCTTTTGAGAAGCAGCCTTTGCATTTTCAGCGACATGATTGGTGTCCATTTCGACCCCCCAACAAACTCATCAAAGCAGAAAGCGGTATTGTCTGTCCCGATATTATTTTCAGATAAAACTGATGCCAAGGTTTTCATGACATTGAATTGCACCTAGTTACTTACGCCCCTTTAGATATTCAACAGCAAGGCCGTAGCCAGAAAATAATTTCGGGGGAGGTTTGATTTGGTCAGTTTGGTGGAACAGCAGAAAAACATGAAATATAAAAACATAAGGAAGAAAAATTGTGTTACATGAACATATATATTCATTGAAACCATTACAGAAATATTAAAATCTTTTTGCAAAATCAAATTTAGTTTTCTAGCTTTCTTTGCAGCAAACAAATCAAATCAATGTCAATTCTACGGTGGATCGACATTAACGCTTAACCGTTTAGTCGTTCCTGGCTTGTGGAGTTTCTTAAATGAGTTTTGAGGCGTTTCAGAGAAGAGAAAGTCTTTTCAGGGGTACATGCGGAATCGCTAGGATCTTTGTACGCACATTGCCGTAAGGTTTTTCCATTGTGTTTCGAGAACGCTTTTTCAATATTCTCTGTCAATCACTTGGTTCATTATGCCAAGGACTTGATAAAATTTCTAACAGATTTTATAATTCCAATAGTATCTGTATCTATGGAGTAAGGAGGGTGAGTGTAGGCCCACAGCACTTAGGCCACATGTGACCCATTGTACATTCCCCCAAAGAGTTGTCCTCCTAGGTCATCGTCGATCCTGTTATTTCCAGAAAGGTGGACAGGTCACTAGGAAACATCTCTTTTATATCGGCTGGTGTAGGCCAAGACTCGCCAAACACACATTCTCTTATTGACGATAACTCTGTTAAGCGTAGATTTTTCCTGGCCATCCCCAGATATTTCTTCGGCGCCAGCTTCCCAGGGTCGCCCAGGGTGAACCTGATAAGATTGCATCCTTTGGTTTCATCCCATCTCTCAAGGGATTGACCATGGGTGTAACGTTTGGCTAGTTCCGCAATTGTCGAAGTCATCAAGCCGTAGGTGCCACTGGGTCCTAAAATTCTTAGTCCAGCCGCTTCCTTGGCTGAAGAGTCGGCAATGCGATTACCTTTACTCCCGTTGTCCACCTAAGGATAATGTTATTATCTACTGAGGCTTTGGCTAAATCTTGATGGCACTCTAGGCCTGAGGTAACACGTTGTCTGTTCTAGGCTAATAGGGCTTGTCTGCTATCAGTGCAGATTGTTATTTTTTCGCCAGAAATTCCTTTCCTGGCAATTGAGATACCAGCCAGTTCTGTTTGAACCACGCTGATATTTCTCCACTAAATCCTTAGGCTTAGTGATCTGGAGTAGACTCCACATCCTGAGCCTTCTTTGGTTTTTGAGCCATCTGTATATATGCGTATTGCATTTGTAGCATCTGACCCTGTGTTCTGTTTTATTTGTATTTTGTAGGGTTTATTAAACGCAACCCTGGGTACAATTGCATCACTGTTTGCCTGCAGCAGAGGTTGCGCAGTGAGCGCTTCTCGCCATAGGCTCAGCCTCAATTGACCCATTCCTATTTCGAGGTGTATACCAGCCGTGTGCAATCATAACATGGCCATTAACGCAACCTCCTTAACGTACAGGTCCAGAGGGGACAGAACAGTAATCCCCCTTGATCCCCCCCTGGCTACGGCCTTGCTCAACAGACTCCTACTGCCAGTGAGGATGTGCATCTGCAGCCGATATCCTGGATTCTAAATGGAATGTCGAGAAAAATGTGTTTTCGTCAGCAAAGTGATATGTTGAACTCTTGGTTTCTTCCAATGAGTCGTTGGTATCCAATAAAGAGAGGGTTGGGAAATAATATTTTTTCCTGTGGAATACCAGCGTTTATGGTACAAGTATTCCGGGGATATCCACCAACGGCCAATTGCAGGAAACGTTCTTTCAGGAAGTTGGAGAGCCAGACAGAAAAATGATTCAAAAAGGCATAGCATCAAAGTTTGGTCAGTGAATCCTCATGTCACACACGGTTAATGACTTCAGGAATATCAAAGGCGACAGCTCCTGACCCTACATGTTTCTTTCTCGCCTATTTATCTTCTTTTCCGAAAGCCATATTGATGATTGATCATGATTTATCATAATCACTACTCAAAAAATTTCGTTTTACGGTAATATTGCATGATACAATGTCGCCCGTGCAAATACGGGGCGGCTGACCGGTGAAAAATAGTATAGACATCTTTTCGTGAGGAAAATTTATCGGACACCAATGTAGATGGTTCAGTGCATGTATGACAAAAGGATACTTACGACAATTGGTTTGGTCAACAAAATCACATAAACCACTATTAACATTGAAGAACAAGCTTTCGGGACAATCTTTCAGTTCCTTGTTTCCATTTACACATTGATAATATTTGCTGCAGTCACCAGGATATGCGATTTGTTTTGATCCACTTGCCGGACAATCCTCATCTGGATGTGGATTGGCTAACGAAAGGGTTGATTCATCATGGATTGAAAATGAATATTGGCTTATACTCACCAGTAGTAGTAGTAGTTTTTGGTGTCGTTATTGTAGTAGCGGGAGTTGGTGCTGAAATAGAAAATTTCTCAGTGAAAGTTCTGGAAATCTTTCCGTATGTGTATTGGTTGATTCAATTGCATACAATTCTGAACAGAAATTTTCCTCACCCGTTGGTTTCGCTGTTGGCCTCTCTGAAAAATAAAAAATCTGTTGTTAATATTTTGATTAAAACAATAAGGACCGTTCTTGGAAGCAAATAATTGACTATTTTAGGTAAATTTTGGATACCTCATACCAATTCGAAAGTTTTGATGAGGAACTTGTATATATTTTCAGACTATTTGGTAGAATGTGAGTTTATTTTTCAATGAATAATGAATCACTATTTCTATTATAAATGACGGCGTAGAAGTCATTCACTCTCAATTCAGTATGGTGGCACTATGACGTCATTCATGGAAATATTGTCAGTCACTTAGTGATTGACGGCAACATCATTTACAAACCAACTGAAAAAGCAGAAACATTTTGCGAAGACCTCAAACTCGAGTACAAACTGTCTACTGACGCACATTCTGACAACCGACACTTAAACTACATATATCAACAAGTATCCTCGCAACTAGGTAGACATCCCGGACAAGTTCCTCTTGACCTAAATAGTCTTTTGAGAAACCCATTCAGCGAGGAAGACATCCTCAAAGCCATCCATCATGATAGAAATATCGCTTCAGGTCCTGACTCGATGAACTGCCAAGTCCTGGAAAACCTCCCTGAATCTACCCTTCAGTACCTCAAACACATCTCACACTGGATGAAGGCCTCCCACCTGGCCAACCGACAAATCCGCGTTACAGTCGGCCATGTCCTATTTTCTCCCCTTACCTACAAATACGGAGTACCCCAGGGCCCAGTCCTAGCTTCTTCCCTATTTCTAATATAGTTACGTTCACGATGCCCTCACCATCCAAAACATCCTCCAGTACGCTGATGACACAATCCTATACTCCTCCGCCCTTAATACCCGGAGACTACTAATCCAATCCCAAATTATGATCGAACACTTCGAGCAATGGTGCAATAAGTGGCATACTCTTCAGACACCCCAATACCACACATCCCTGAACTTGATCCCGATAACATGAACCTCCAACTTCAAGATTTGGTGAACTACTTGGGAGTTACTTTCACATTGAGACGTTATTGCACACATACAAAATGTGGGAATCTTCCAAGGAAAGGAAGGAAGTAATCAATTCTAAATTAAGTAACTCTATACATGGATGTGTAGATCGTGCAAAGAAGTAACTTTCAGACAAAAACTGAAAGAAAGTCCTCCTGAAACAGCTACTTTCATATAAACATTGAATTACACGAAAGAAAAAAAATTCTTTCGAAACAAATACTTCTATATGAACACTGAATTATACAGAAGATACTTTTCTCTACTCAGTTTGTATTTCAAACATTCGTTGTGGAATATAAATCAGATAACATTCACATGAATTCTACTTTAAATGAATGGTAATAAATTGCACTTATATACACCGATGTTTCGCCTTAAGACACTTGCCCCAAGGCTCTTCAGTACCAAATTGGATAACATTATAGAAAATACACACAGTTCATTCATGAATTACGATTTTTTAATGTCACGGAATAAGCTTGATCTGCTTATGTCATCGATGACATCGTAATGACATTCATTCACCTATTTGATTTAATCCCAGCCAAGAGGAATCTTATTTGAATTGAAGGGGTTATATTTTTAGGAGTGATTAATTTTTGGGAAAGAAAGTTTTTGGCTTTCTACTACTCTATCTTGATACAAAAATTAATCACTTCTAAAAATATAACTCCTTCAATTCAAATTATTTGATGTCTTCTTAAATGATCTGAAATAGATACAAAGGTTTTATTTCAATTCAATTATTTCAAAATGATGAAAAATAATTCCAGGACGACTTGAGAAACTTTTTTCATGCCTACATATTATCATGCTCTTGAAAGAGTTCTATTTCGAATCGTAAGTTTTTGTTTTTTGCAAATGTTGGAAAATTTTATTGCAGTTCATGAATATACATATGTAGAATACTTACGACAATTCGTTCGGTCAATGAAATCACATAATCCAGTATTGATGTTGAAAAACAAGCTTTCGGGGCAATCTTTCAGTTTCTTATTTCCATTTTCACATTGATAATATTTGCTGCAGTCTGCAGGATATACGATTTGTTTTGATCCACTTGCTGGACATTCAAGATTCGGTAACACTGAAAAAAATTATTGAATACAATGAAGTGAAAAATTCATAAAAAATTGTTTATGAAACTGAAGTGTGTACCTAGTATTCAAAATGGAGAGATACAGGTAAATGTAGCTAATAAAATCAGATTGACGTGACACAAGTATGTATAATTGGCCGAAGGTTAATGGAAATCTTTGATGAACATTTCGAAAAACATTCAGTTGTGAAATTTTCACAAAACTTCTTTTTCCACTATAAAATAGCTTCTGCTGGCATGTTTGTTACTATAATATTGAGAGGTAGTTCTGGAACCTATGGATTAGAATAAATCCAAAACAATTACTGCGTACCCAATATCCAGAACTTCAACTTTCTTCTCAATGCGCGTTCCATCCGGCATGGTATCTTCAGGAGATGAGGTAGACTATTTCATCGCCTGAAGATGCCAATTTGATTGGTGAAAGCGTCGAGTGGTTAGGAACAGTGCTTATTCCAAATCATTCACAATATTCATTAAGATAATGTTATTTTTGTTTGTTGTTTTTGTTTTTGTTGTTGTTCCGAACTCATGATTTCATAAATGCTTTTCAAATGCAATATATGTAAAATTTCACATTTCAAATATATCAAGTTGAAACAAGATGGAAGTGGAATACAGATCGAAAAAAAATCATATTTTTTATTCATCGTGTAATGATTCATGTATTATACATTTCATCTATAATGAATTGAATGTTTGAACTTTCAGAAATTATTCATTAAGCAGTGCTTTACAAAAACTATCACTATTATAATTGAAATTTTGGATTCTTCAATATAATTTATTATACATTCTATACAATTTTTGTTCTTAATGTGTATTACAATACACAAGAAACAACAATAAAAACCAAAAGAAACTTATCAAACGATTGAGAGAAAGGGACGTTTTTTATTTGAAAGCCGACAAAGGTAACAAAGTAGTAATTCTGGATAAATCGGACTACTACGAAAGGGTCAATACTCTCATTACTAACGGACCGTATGCGAAATTGTCCAGGAACCCGTTAACAAAGATGATTGCCGAAGAAAAAGACGTCCTCAAGAAATGCGACAACATAATTACCCCTCAACTGGAACGGAAGTTACAAGTTTCCAACCCAACGGTGTCGAAACTATGTATATTGCCTCCCAAAAATCCACAAACCGGGAAAATCAATGCGCCCCATCGCATACATCATAAAACATACAAAAAACGTGCTTCTGCAAGAAGGTGAGATTTTGGTTTCTTTTGATGTTAGTTCCTCATTTCCTAGCGTCCCAATTTCACAGACCTTGCAATACCTCAGGGAATTTCTAGAGAAAAATAATTTCAATACTAACGAAATCGATGAATTCGTTTCTCTTACTAATTCGTGTATGAAACAAAATCGGTTCCAGGTAGAGGGTTGCTTTTATGAACAACAGGAAGGAACGGCCTTGGGAAACCCCTTGTCCCCCTACCTGGCAGACCTTTTCATGAGCAGATTCGAAATGGAAAGCAAAGAAAAGTCGAAGTATTTTCCTAGGATTTGGCTAAGGTATGTGGATAATATTTACGCGATATTCGATACCAAAAAATCGAATATTGACGACTTTGTTTCCATTTCAAATAATAGATGTCCATCAATAAAATTCACGTATGAGTTAGAAAATAAGGGACAACTACCATTTCTTGACGTTTTGGTAATGAGGAACCAATATGGAGGGTTAGAATACGATATATAGAAAAGAAACAAGCACGTACAGGTATATTCCTGACAGTTCACATCACAGTGGACAACAAAAACGTGCTGGGTTGAATTTTTTAGTGCATCGTCTTTTGACTTTTCCTCTAACATATGATAGGTTCACAAAAGAAAGACGTACAATACAGGAAATAGCAGCCACTAACGGTTTCTCGAGGGGTATTGAAGATGACATAATAAGGAAGAAGAAGTTTAGATTGAGAATGAACGAAATCTCGACTTTCAGAAAGGACAAAAATCAAGATAAATACATCTCAGTTCCATACCACCAATATACGAAAAAAACTCCAGTAATATTCATTACTACACCAAAGGTTCCAAACAGTGCATCATATGTGTATTACTTGTATAGTAATACTTCAGTGAAGAATCCTGCATTGACACCTGTCGGATATAACCCAACACCCTTCGTGGTATCAGCCAGGGGAGTGAGTACTTGTTTTCTGATAAGTGTCAGTCCATTAACCTACAGTGTAGGGAGCTGAGACTGGCCTGAACGAATTGTTCATTTAGATGATTCGATTTATAGCCAGTCTTCAAGTATGCCCATATGTGAAAAGTTAGAAGGTACTATTTATTTTATTTTTTAAGCTTTCCTCTGGAGCCCCGATACATTCAGGAGGACATACCAGCATTATCAACTAGCGGCCATTCCCTAAACCGTGGGGTGAGTGAACATTGGGTCCGAGAATCATGTGCCACAAGCATGTGCCTCAAAAGTCATTTTTTTGTGGAGGAAATCAGAGTATTCATCTACCTTCTTTTGGTATATTAACTTCCAACAATCTGAGAAGATTGAAAAAAATTCTCTCGATATCAGTCGAGGATGTTCCGACACAGAGAATCAGCGATTTTTTTTGAATACTGAATACGGAGGCAGATTTTAGCCTCCGAAACGGTGAGATTAGTATCTGTATGAATTTTTAGTTCCTTTTAGATTATTATAGAACATTTCTTCTTGTCAGAAGTATTTCGAATTCGGTAACTTTACGGGTTGAACTAAAATGTTCGCCCTTTCTGCACTTGGTGTTTCTTGTTGTCTATGTCGAAATGTTCACCCAGAATTGACAATCGGTAATTATTTGCATTGTAAAATAGTTCAGGGTACAATTGATTGATTGTTATCATGGATATTCCAAAAATAAATTTCAAGAATACTTACCGCAGTTTGCGTACTCCGGAAAATCACAATTCCCAACTATTTTGCTCCAATGTAGTCCTACCGGACAATCCAGAAGCTGTTGTTGGCCGTTTTTGCATTTATAGTACCTGCTGCAATTGGTAGTATCAGGATAATAATTTATATGGGTAGAGTTGTATGGACACAAAGAACCTGGAGATGTACCTATAGAAATAAAAAACATTATAGGAAAGGTAAAGAAGAAAAACATTTATTAGAGTACTCAAACAACTTAATGTGATTTCTTTCGATGGTAAATTGCAATTTATTTCCAACGAGTCTGGAGGTATATCCTCAATAACCACGATATTGAAAAAAGAAAAAATTTAAACGAATTCAATCAACGACCTGTAAGTCCCCTCTCAATTACTTGTAGAATAAAAGAAGACACCATCTCTGAAGATATTTCGAACTGTGTTAGCCAGCACAAAGTAGTTCCTCCAAATGAAAACGGATTTGTCAAAAATATCACAACTGACCTGAATCACTAGACTTAAGAACTCTTACGAATATAATATACTTGGACTTTTATAAAGCATATGACTGAGTTCTTGTCAACTGAGTTTGAGTGAAAACGACTGTTTAACAAAACCCTTTTCAATAAAATATTCAAGCTAGAAGTTTCAAAATATTTCCTGCTCATCGCTGTCCCACGGGTTAAATGATCTGCCGTCATCATTCAATAATATGTTCATTCAATCTATCGTGTCACATACGAAATAAAAAAACCTTCAAGTATGAAAATACAGGATGTATCAACGATAAAAGGGTTGGATGATAGCTGTGTTTCTATTAGAGATACAAAAAACTGTTTCGGGAAAAAGTTGTAGAGAATACTGAAAGCTGCTCCAATGGTTACTAATAATAATAATAATATTTATATACAAGANTTCTTATGTTGATCTTTATTGATATATTTATAAACTCAGATACACATTTAACTTTAATTGGCTACGTAAAAGTCAGGTACTCAAAATTCGGGTAGTTCAAATGGTTAAAACATAGATGTAGATTTCAGTTAGTAAAGACACACCTGAAGAAGCTATTGTATAGCGAAACACGCGTTTCGTTTTTGTAAAAACTGTTTAACGAAAATCTCACGATAGGGTGTTTTTTTTAAAGAATAAAAATCATAACCGATGAAAAGTTCAATGGATATTCATTTCAAGAATCGTCAAAATTAATGATTTCAAAAATTACTCACTGCAGTCTGCGTATTGGGGAAAATCACAGTTTTGAATTTTTTTGCTCCAATGAAGTCCTGCAGGGCATTCCAAATGAGTTTCTTGCCCTCCTATACACTTATAATATCTGTTGCAATCATTTGAGTCAGGAACGTATATAATATGGTTGGAGGAGTCCGGACATAATGAATTCGAAGATCTATCTGCAGAGGAGAAAAGATAAGGTGAGAAAAAAAACGTTCATCACGTAATGTTTTCTAGTGTAAACAAATAACCCAGTGATGATGTTTGAATCCTATTCAATTTTTTCAATATGTTGTTTCTTCATAATCTGTGTTGAATTTTCTGTAATATTTTCACATTGTTTATCATTATGTGAAAACCAATCATTGGTATCAACTCCCAACCTGCAATTCTTAGCGGAAAATGAAAAATTTTCCTAGTCGATTTTTATACTAGAACAGGGGTCTCCAAACTACGGCCCGCGGGCCAAATCCGGCCCGCCAGTTATTTACTGTCATTAATCTGGCCCGCGACAGCCAATGATTACCTAATTGTTGTTACTATTGCTGTGATAAGTTGAAGAAGAAACCACAGAATGATAATTACTCGGTTTTATTTACTTGTAAGGTAAAACTTAACGACAGAAATGATGACAAAGAAAACTTATGTTTGAAGGTGATTGACAATGTTTCATGATGAATTCCACTAGTTCGGACTTCCATTGTCTACTATATAAAATGATTTGAAATCCCTGAAACAACTAAAACAGAAGAATAGAAAATGAATAGCTGAAAATAACAATTATATCAACCAAAATAAACCTGAAATGAAATAATAGTGAAATAAAATACAACTAAAAATAGAACAATTGAATGAATAGAAATAAAGGAATGAAAAAAGAAAATAAAAATAAAAAGTGAAGAGATTCCAAGTCACGTTAGTTCACGACGTTTCTATTGTTAGTATCTACAATCGTCTTGGCCAGTCATCACTCGAAGCAGATATCACTGCACCGTAAATCAATAATTTCCTTTTGGACTTCCGGAACCAGGGTTTCAATGTCAGAATCAAAAGGATTTTGAAAAAGCTTCATTTAATTCGCAATGACATCAAAATCTGAAAAACGAGGAAGATTCAGTCTTTGTAGTGTGGCTGAATAATTGCGATTGAAATAGTATTATTTTCTCCCTGAAGCATTTGATATTGGTGTATAAATTAGGGAGAAGCTGATTTTCTCCTTGCAATCTCAAATTCAGTTCGTTCATATGATTTGTCTAATCGACATAGAAGGCTAACTTCCACATCCATTCACTATTTTCTAAATCGGCAAAAAGGATTAGGTCACGCACTTTGCGACTATTCTAGTCTAGAAATATAGTTAAGGGCAGAAATTGGCCCTTGGAACAAACTGAAAAAATCGTTATGGCCCGAAGGCCTCAAAGTTTGGAGACCCCTGTACTAGAACATCAACTACACCACTGAATTGAAAGTGCCTCCAAATACTTGTTACCAGAATTTAATGAAATATGAAGTTATCTGTATCTGTATCGAAAGGTTAGGTTAGTTCTAAAGTGAATAGGCCTATTCGCAACCCGCAAAAGTTCATTGTGGCTCGACCAAATAAACCCAGCTTCTTAACGAGGCCGATCAGTTTATATGGTGAGTGATCTTTCAGGTCAGACGATACTAGTACAAGTGTGGTTCTACCAAACTCTAAAAACCTGATTTGGTCCGCAGCGGGGCATGCACAAAGTATGTGCTCTGCTGTTTGATCATTTTCCAAGCATCTTCCAACAGTTCGAGTCATATACAGATGATTCAAATGATAGTGAGCTGTAAGGAGGCCTATTAGACATCGTAGTTCATCCCTACTGTAGTCCAACAACTGTTTGGTTTCAAGCTCCGAAAGGTGTATGAACGCCTTGGAGTGAGCTAGAAGTCCATAAATCTTCTTGCCATATGGGTGTTCAATGTTTGTTTGGCATAGCCCAAAGCAATGCCAATGACAGGTTCTGGTCCGGTGAAGTTGCTTGCAATACCCTTCTTTGCAAGATAGTCAGCAGCCTCATTACGTTTCAACCCAGTATGGTCAGGAATCAAGACCAGAAACAATCTGTTAAGTCTTCCTATCGAGGAGAGTCGTTTTTGGTAATTTGCTATCAATTTAGACGTTGCTCGATAGAAGCAAAGAGCTTCCAACGCCGCATGACTGTCCGAAAAAAATTTTAATAACTCGTGTATGAGATTGGATTGTTACAATCTCTCCACATACAATTCAATAGCATAAATTTCCGCTTCGAATATAGTCGCATAGGTTTCTAGGCAGGTAGATATCTCTGTCCTCTGAGTCTGCGACTAAAAACACCTGCACCATAACTGGAAGGTGTTTTTGATCCATCTGTGAACCAACAACTATCTGCTCTTAATATTTCCTTCTTCCAGAGGAACCAGTCCTCCCTATTTGGGAACAGTAGGTATTTTATGAGGTAGTTCGTAGTTGACAGTTGGAGGCATAAAGTCAGAGGTCATTTCCAGAATGCTGTGATTTCCAGTGTCAACCAACAGTTTCTGGCAAATTTGGAGAGGTGGTAGATCCAGAAGCATCTCCATGGTCGCTGACGGTGTGATACTGATGGCACCACTGATGGCCAGCCGAACCTGTTTCTGTAAGCCAAAGAGTTTCGCCTGGGCCGTTTTCTGTAAAGCCTTCGGCCACCAGGCAATCGAACTATAAGTGATCATTGGTCTGACAATCATCACATAAATCTAATGTATTTCTTTGGGACCTCAACCCCAAGTTCTACCACAAATCCTTCTACATGTCCATAGGGAGAGTCTGGCTTTGTGTAAAACTGTTTCCAAGTGAGCGTTCCAGGTGATTCTTTCATCAAGGACAATACCAAGATATTTCACCTCCGTTCCAAATGGAATGACCTCACCATTGGGGAAAAGTGGCGTTATATCGCCCAATTTTTTCCTTCTGGTGAAGGAGATTATCACAATTTTTCTGGGGTTGACAGACATCTGCTCCCTCAGGTACCAACTGTGAACAACGTCTAACGTGCTTTGTAGTATATTACAAGGTACCCTTCTCGATGTGGACCAAGATGACAAGGTCATCTGCATAAGCTTGCAGATCCACTTTTCTTCTATCGAGGGTATCATCAGGAGCGACCACAGAAGGGGAGATAGTACCCAACCTTGAAGGCAACCCCTGTTGACCCTGAACACAATGGTCTGGCCTTGAAGAGTCGTAGTTGCAGTACTGTTTACCAGCATGGCATAGATCCAGCCAGTTATGGTCGATTCTATACCTTTCCCAGCCAGAGACGATCCTACAGATTTAGGTAGTGCATTGTCAAATGCTCCTTCAATATCAAGAAATATAGCAACCGCAATCTTTATATATATTCCACTGGAAACCTTTCAAAATATTGGATATGGGTGGGACATATGCGGTTTCTATAAGTCATTTAGATATTGAAAAAGTACGAATTCAAGTTGGAGAAAATGAGAATGTGAAATAGCATGTAGTGTGCCTCAAAGCACGGTGTTGTGGTTTGTGCTACCTTGATTGATCCAAACAATACATTCTCTTTGGAAAAAAACAGAGATCATGAACTTTGTAGTTGATACCTTCATAATACATAGTGACAATGACTGGTATTATCTTAAATTGAAAATAGAAAAATTATCAAATGAAAATAATCAAATAGTTGTAATGAAAATCATACAATAAACTTCATTAATGGGTTTTTTCTTTGAAATGATCAATTTGAAACAAACAAAACTTTCCTTTCCTGCTCTGCCTTCACCGAAAGGCATTAAAATATACCAAGCATTTCAAACAAATTAAATCCCCATAATATTAGCAACTGCTTGAAGTTTCATACATATATTGATATATATGAATAAGAATCGGAATATATTTGGTAATGCATTTTGGACCTTATTAGAAGAGGATGGCCGGCAAAACCGACACTACTGCCTCACTCAATTTTACATTTAAAATTTTTAGATATATGTTTAAAAATGCATGTTATCGTTCCAATTACTTGTTTACTTGAGAACTTGTACCGATTAATGTATATTTGAATAATTATTGTATTGAAGAAAAGAGAATTGGAACTTTCTATGTTTTTCAGCACTTTTATTTGTAATACTAACATTTAACTCAATGTTTAATGTATAAGTTTGAAAATGTCTTTATAGGACGAAACTGCAATAACGTTAGTTACAAATAAAAGTGGTAAAAAACATAGAAAGTTCCAATTCTCTTTTCTTCATTATGATTTCCTACCACGTAGTAACGGCTACATCCATCAATTATTGAATTGTATTCTGATTATTGATTTGGTGAATATGGTGTAGATCGATTGCTTTCTGAAATGTATTAGATTGACCAAAATAATAAATATTTTCCTCTCAATTTTTCCTAAGTCCACTACCTCCAACCCCACACTCCTTCACAAATTTTTCGAAATAGAAACTAAGTACGTACGTTCAATATTCTCTACACTGATGCATCTAAGACACATGAAGATGTACGAGTTGGTGCATCAGTTATAGCAGGAAACAATATCTGTAAGTTCAGTATATCTTCAGAATGCTCGGGAGAACTACATGCCATAGTGGAAGCGATTAAACTCTCTACAATTGCTAAAGATTCGGTAATATTCACTGACTTCCTGAGCTCCTTACAGATCATTAAACAGCCCTACCCAAAACATCCCATACCAAAAAACATCAAGACACAGTTATACGAGATGAGATTCCAAGGGAAAAAATATCAAACTGGTGTAGATACCATCCCATATAGGCATTCCTGGTAATGAAAAGGCAGACATGGCTGCAAAAATGCCAGTGCAGATCTATCTGCCAAAATTATATCCAAAATACCATATACAGACATGAAGCCCGTTATAAAAACGTATAAACGAAAGATTTGGCACAGCGTAAATATCAAAATAACGAGCTATTGCAAATAAAAACGAATCTGAATCCCGTCTAATGGATTGGGTTGTGTAGAAGAAACCAAGTGATTCTTACCAGGCTTCGCAATGGCCATACCAAGTTGACACATCAACACCTCCTTCAACGAGATGTGGCCAGATAATGTGAAACCTACCAAACAAACCTTGATGTAAACCACATTCTTCTGGATTGTCCATCTTACTAACGACAGAGACATGCTATTGGC